ACTGCGCCGTTTGATCTGGTGTAGGGTGAATGATCCAAGGCTGGGGTTAGATAAATAGGGCTCCCTACCTCGCGTCCGAAAGATGCCTAAAAACGTCCGTCGTCGGAGCGGGGTGGGTTTGAGCACTGGGGACATTGCCAGGGCCCTTCTGGGGCGCTGTGAGACGAGGGAACATTTTAAAGGGGTGTATTCATTAGACACTCTTCCCCACACCCCTTTTGAATACCGCCCGGCTTTAGTGGTGTGCAACACTGCCTACCAGCATAGCGCGGGCGAACATTGGGTGGCTCTGTATTTAGACACAGCGTGGTGGGCTTAGTTATTTCGATTCATACGGGCTGCCACCCAGTGGAATACACCTTATGACTTTTATTTATAAAAATAGCATTAATGGCTCGTGGGATAGTAACCACACACAACTCCAATCGCTGGATAGCGCTGTGTGTGGGAAATATGTGTGTTTGTATTTGTATTATCGGGTGTTGGGATACAGTGAAACAGAGTTTGTACAAATGTTTATAAAATGTAAAAATAAAAAACCTGACGCTACTGCTAATCTGTTATTTAAAAAAATATTTGGCAGTGTGGGAGCTCGTGGGGGATGTGTTGGTGCCGCTGGGGCTCAGTGGTCTTATAAATATACCATCTAGTGGCGGTTTCAACACATTTCCTCCCTAGTGGAAGTGGCGGCGGCAATGGACTCCACTCCTCCCTTTGGGGGGTGTGCAAATAAGTCTATATGGAGCGATGTGCTTCGAGACTTTCTCGAGCTCCCGAACGAGGCACGCAGCGGGGTGTTTGCCGAGTGGTACGCCTTCTGTGAGTCCATTGCTGGCGAAACACCTAAAAACGTGTCGGAATTGTCGGATTGCTGGCGGCGGTTTACAACTCACGCCCCACTCGGCAGCCACTGTGATAGCTTTGGCGCGGTCATGTTGACCATCGCCCTGACATCGGCGGCTTTTTTTGTAATTGCCGGTGTGGGTGGGCAGAGGCTACGCAATGCTCTACGAGAGCGAACAAATTCTGGATCGGTCTGATGCCCACCCAACACCTCGCGACCAAGGCCTGGATTCGCCTGGATTGTTGTGTGAATTGTGAGGAGTGACTTCATTTTGTGTGTACATTGTTTTGTTCCTTGTTTATCATTTGTTGCATTGTTTATTTATTATGCATTATTACACTGAATGTGTTATATTTCCGATGTATACTGCACTTCTGTCTGTACCCCATGCTTCAAATAAAGAAAAAACAAAAAAACCCAAAAAATATTGTGGCATCCTCACAGCAGGTGTTGAGTTGGAAACCTCTTGTTGTGAGGATGACACGGTAGATTTTCGGTTGGCATCTGTCTGCCCACGATGAAAATGAGACATCCCACCTTTTGCCAAGAAGCACACGACTTCCACAACTCCCCGTGGAGCGGCCCTCCAGGAGGGTAAGACTAACATGGCATCATTGGTGGTGGCTGGATGTGAAACGCGCACATATTGGCCCTATTGCTAGAAGGGAATTCTAAGGTATTTTTTAAGCTTTTTGAGCTTTTTTCTGTATTTTTCTAGGCTTTGGGGCTCATTTGATGTCCGAATCATGCGCGGCTTGGTTTCTGACCTTTGGGGTCCCAAGGAGTAGATTTCCACCGTCAAATATTTTTTTCCCAATTTTGACCGTTCTGACCCACTGTGCATCGCTAGTAGGGAATTCGGCGGGGCTGGGCCAGGCCGGGCCGCCCGCGGACAAACTTATGGATTTCCCTGTCGCATTGCTTTCCCACTATCGCAGCAGCTCCTGGGTCAGTGGGGCCAGTGGGACTGGCGATGATCGCATTGTTTTAGGCAGTTCAGGACAGGCCGCTCGCGGGCGGGTGGGTGTAAGGCGGTAGCGCGGCTTGGCGTGGCGCGAGGTGGGCCGAGCCAGGGCCGGGGCCCAGTCGGGGGCCGGGGGCCGGGGGGGCCCCGGGGCCGGGGGCCGGGGGCCGGGGCCCGGGGCCGGGCCCGGGCCCGGGGCCGGCCCCCCGGGCCGCGCTGCGCTGCGAGGGGGGCCGGGGGCGATTTTTTTGCGGAGTTACCCCCCCACCACATTTGTATCCTGGATACTTTGAGTATCCCCCCTATACTGTGGGATACACTATACTACTCACGGAAGTTACATCATCAAAAAAACCGTGAAAACGGACCCAAACCCCTTCACCAAATCGAACGGGGGTCTCGCCTTAAAATTTAAAAAACGTTTAAAAACGCAAAATGGCCAGGGGGACCGAAATCGATAGGCCGAGTAGCAAGCTCGCAATTGATGACACGGAAGGTTACACATAAACCTGACACATGCCGGATTTTTACCTTTGGTGGTCAAGCTAGCCGGAATGGAGCCCCCCAGCGAAAATCCGCCTACCGCGCTGGAAAGAGGAAAACCGTGCTGCTGATTTGGACGTTGAGCCGAATTTTTCCCGCTACAGGTTCGGCGCTGAGGCGCGAAACAAAAGTTGACGATGTTGGAAAACCGTACACGGTGGACATTTTTTCATCCAAAAAAGCAGGATGAGAGTCACTGGAATAAATTGCTATCCAAGAATGTCATAAAGGGTTGCCAACAGAACAAAAGGCTGTTCGCGGATTTGCTCTCCGACAAATAGTTCAGGAGATTTTCGCCTTGAAACACGGACTTTTGGCCCATGGACAGCACGGAAGTTCTTTTTCCCCAGTTTTAGCCTTTTTTGACAGGGAAATGCTTGAACTGCATGCTCGGTTAGTGTGTGGGATAGTAGGGAGATGAAGTTGAGAGAAGCTCCAGACAAAAAAAACCACTTGGTCGGCGACATCCTAGGAGCGGGCGCTTGTGGTGTTTTATCGGTTCATTGTATGTATACGAACTGCCGAAAAGACACTTGGACGAAATCCGACACCCCCTGTGGCTTTGGTACGGGTCTAAACACCCCAAAAACAGCTGTTTTCGAGGGTTTGGGACTAGATGGGTTCTCGAAAACCGAGATCCAAAAAAGTACCCAATGGGTCTCAGATACTAAAAAAAAATGCGCTCTTTCGAATGCCGTGTCGAACGAGGCTCTACGACGTCGGGTTTGGATGCTCGGGCTCTCAAAGTTGCTCAATTTCACTTTTTTTACTAAAGATTTGGGCATATCAGGGCCGTTTGAAGTAACCATCGGCGATTTCGCTCCTCTTTGTCTAAAATGGTGCCTACCCATAGGTAAACCCCCACAAAATTTCAGCCATGTCAGGCAATTATTAGAGGAACTGTGAAAAATTTAAGTTTTGGGTCATTTTACCACGGGGTTGGGTTTTTTTTTGGGGTCCAGAAAAAAAAATTTTTTTAGCTATCTACTTTTGATCAGCACCTCTTGAAACGCCTTTTTAACATGGTGCCTCAAACTTTTTTCGAGGACAAACTTGTCTTTTTCAAAGCTGTAATTGACATAACTGGAGAAAAGACAAGTTTGTCCTCGAAAAAAGTTTTGAGGCACCATGTTAAAAGGCGTTTCAAGAGGTTAAAAAAATAAAGCTGACACATGCATTTTTTTTTGGCCCCAACCCCTAGCCGGGAAAAGGGACCCCAGCTTAAATCCGCTACCGCCTGGAAAATTGCCTGCGGGCTAAAATTTTGGGGGGTTTTCCCCCTATGGGTTCGGCCCCTTTGACGCGAAAACTAAATTGCCGATGGTTACTCAAACGGTGAACCCAATTCTTCATAAAAAGCGGGAAAGGTGGAGAAACTTTGAAAAAAGCATCCAAAATGTCGAAAGAGCCGTTCCGAACGGCATCAAAAGGCTTTTGGTTCGGCCCGGGATTTGGATCTCCGAGAACCTTTAGTCCAAACCCTCGAAACACGGCTTTTTTGGGTTTTTGGAAAAACCCACGGAGGTTCATTTTGCCAAAGTTTTTTCGGCAGTTCTTACAGGAAATGCCGAAAAAACCAAAATGCTCCCGTTAGGTGTGCCGACAAGTGGTTTTGTCTGGATTTTTGAGTCATAGGAATCAAACCGCAGGTGTCGATACGTCGAAAAATAAGGAAACTGTGGCCCAAAGACACAAAAGGACCCATAATTTTGGCAACCTCCCATAGGGCCTTTTCGGGACGCATTGCACGTAGGTGCAATATGGCTATGGCATTGCACGTGGTGCTATATCTCAGTGCATTGCACCATACGTGCCATATTCATAGCGTTTGGAATCTCAGTGTGCCCTCATGGGCGAGGACTTGTATTTTGATGTTCAAAGCGTCCCTGACGCAGATGTTGATATTGTTTCCCATTAGGATGGGCTGTCAATCGTGATTTATCGATGTTGCAAACGCAATAACCCGCAAAAATAACTTCATGGCAGGCGCGGCTCGAGGGGGGGGGGGGGGTTCGAGGGTCGCCCGCAGGGCGTCGAAATCGCGCTTCGGCTTGGCTCAGCGAGGGTTTTGACATCAGGAGCGACCAGCGAACCCCCCGTCAGGTTTAGTCTGGAGCCGCGCCTGACTTCATGGCATTACAAACGCTACGCGACCTGGGCCTAGTCTGTTAACTTAAGGCTTGGCCCTCGCGCATCGACGTCGAAAATTCGAAATTTTGGCTTTTACTCAGTTTTGGTAGAAACGTACCAAAAATGCGCCGGTTGTCCGACCGAATGATGCGCTGGGACGTTCTAGAGTGGCCAATCGTCCACGACTCCGATTAGCGGAGCCAAGCCCGGGCTGATTGAGGGGGTATTGATTTGGGTGATAAAATGATTCTCACCCAAGTTTGGGCGAGGCATTCGGGAAAATATTGGCTGGCTATACGGGCAGCTGATATTCCCTTCATCACCTAAAATTGGGTGAGGAAGTATACCTCGCCCAAAATTGGGTATTGGTCAAGACTTTATTCTGAGAGAAGTGTTTCCTCACCGACGTAATGGACGTGGAGGGGTCGCAGCCAGTACCTGATCCGCAGCAAGCGTTGGTCGGGCTCCACCGGCACGGTCGCCACGTGTTCCGGCTTGCCCCACGGCCACACGGCCATCTCACCGCGCTCTCACCGTAAACGCCACTTGACCCTCCGGTAGATACTTGGCTCCGCTTGGTGATGACTGGTGCAGGGGAGGATACGTCCCAACCGTAGCTGCACAAAAGATAGTCGATCAGCGGGAGCGGCAGTTTGGGCTTCAAATTGGGGAGGGGATGGATAAGAGTGCCTTGCGTTACTGTAACGATACTTAAACATGTGATTTTCTCAAAGTAAGTACTATTTTTGGAAGGTGCGAACTCAAATGTAGGCGAAGCACGCACCTCAAGGAGTAACCACGAGGCACACACTTCTTCGATGCATGGCCGTCATTGGTGCTCGCAATCAACAAACAAGTGTGTGCCTGAGGCATTCAGGAAAGAAGCGTGCCCTTGTGGTTGCGTCTTGACTGCCGGCGGACTGAAGGCCGTTCTTCGCTGACACACGAGTTTGCAGAGTGGTTTGAGGAAACCCGAAACTGCACTCGGATTCACTATTATATATTGTCCAATGTATTGGACAAGCTGTATGTTAATTGAAATCCATGCCCTATTTTAAGATCAGTCACCTTGCCTACTGCGACCCATGGGGCTGTTGCGGAGGGAGGTCTCGTACTGCAGCGCGCCGCTCGGAGCACCGCCTATCACTGTGAGCCTGCTGCAGAAGGAGGGGCTGCACATTAAAATGAGGATGCGCTCGCCTCGCTTCGTGTGGTCCAGCACAGCCGTGACTCGCTCCCCAGGGGCCAAGCTCCCCAAGTTGGTGAAGCCTGTGACAACAACATCAGATTAGACCCTCACTGTGAGAGAAAAGTGCGGAAAAAGTACGGAACATGTCTGGTCAAAAATTTGCCTGCAGCGTCCTTACTTGCCATCTACGGAACTTCCGTACTTTTTTTTTCCGTACCCATTTACATAGGTTCATATGGAGCAAGTACGGAACGTTCCGTTCCGTACTTTTCTCCGTGCCTCCGTATTATATTTTTCTGTACCATTTCCGTACAAAAGTACGGAATTTTTTCCTGGGCACCTTGGACGGCGTTCCCCTCCCCCTCCCCCCCCGGTCCATCATCGGTTTAACCTAACCTTCCCATGTATTTAAGATAGGACCGTCATCAGAGGCCGTACCCCCTCCCCCCTAAAAAGTGATGACGCCTTGGCCCGGCCACCATATGACATACTGACGCTTTTCTACGGCGCTTCACAGATGCCAGGCAAGAACCACGTTCACGTTCGGAGACTTGGCGTTCGCTCCGGAACGAGAACGCCGTTCTCGCTTGAAAGTTGCGCTTTAAAGTCAAATGTGTAGCCGAAAGTCGATAAGTCGATTAGTAAGTAATCTGGTCGCAAATAATGTGCCCCCCCCCTTGCCGCCGAATCTGCGGTGAAAAAACGTAACTCATTTGGAGAGAACGATGTTCTTGTGTCGGAGCGAACGGCTTCGTGTTAATTACACTTGGCTAGGCTACTTCCGGGCAATCTTTACCGTCCGCCTCTGTCCCTTGGTTGACGGCAGATTAGATTCTCCTGCTCTGCCGGCCGAGCGCCTGATAGCCAGGCAACTCATCCACCAGCCCTGCCGGCATGCTGGCGTTTACGCGGGGCCAGCTCTAGCTTACACTCTCTCAAAAACTTCTTTCTTTGCATTGGGGAGTACTACTCTGCAACTTGAAAAGAAAATGCTTTCCAACGTTACTAGCCAATGCTTCGCAACGGTACAAACTTTTTTCTTCGCAACTTACGAACTATTTCTTTGCAATGCGAAGAAGAAAGTTCGCAAGGGAGTTTGTAATACAATGCTGGAGAATGTTTTGTGCTGCAAAGACTCGTCACGATAAGCCCCAAAGAGGGTTACGAGGCCCACGTCACATTCCTTAGAAAGGAGTTCTTACCGTCGCAAAATGCCGGACTTTCGTCTGAGCCGTCAGCACAGTCCCTGGACCCGTCACACACGTATATTGTAGAGCCTCTGCCATCCTTGCAATCGAAGGCACCTGCAACACAGAGCATTGCCACATTGCAGTTCGTTGCGCCTCAGCGAGTGTGGAAGGAATTGGACTAGCGGTGTGTCAGGACAACACTTTCATTCCAGGAACGTGACATCACGATGAAACCCAACGTGACAAATCGTTTGAGCATTGTGTCACATTCGTTAGAGTGTGAATTGTCCAAAAAACAGCTTGTTCACATTCAAACGAACGTGACACAATGCTCAAACGAACGTGACATTTTGTCACGTTCGTTTCAACGTGATGTCACGTTCCTGGAATGAGAGTGAACCTAACAGACCAGATTCACAGGGTTCGCGATGGGATTGTCGCCTTCCCCTGGAGGCGGCAGCGGCCTGAAAAGTAGGCATTCAATCTCCTCTTCCCTGATGGGTAGGCTACTTTAGCGGCATATAACCCCGTCGCCCTTGCCTCCCTCGAACCCGTCTCTGGATCCGGCCTCAAATGAACTGGACAGTAGTTCACTGACAATGAAAGAGTTTCGATCGATTCAAAATTTTCGGCGATGCATACTACTTTATCACCCCTTACTTCGGAAAGAATCATTTTACCAGAGTTGAGAAACTTTTTCACCCACATTTTAGCGAAAAATGGTGTATCATCTGCTAGTAAGTCAGCCAGATGTTACCATCTTGACCAAATTGTTACCAAACTGTTACCAAATTGACTGATAAAGAATACCTGACCCAAAATTAAGTCCTTACCGTGACTCCTCAATGTACGCATACGCAGACTCACCGGCGTGGGAGGCCCCCAGAAGCAGAGCAGGCAGCACCAGCACAGATGAGATCTTGACAAACTCCATATTGGCTCTGACTGACATTCTCTTCCCGCGCTACGGATCTTGGTGGCAAGGCGTGGCGTGGCAGCCGCGCGGCGGTATCGTGATAACCTGCGACCTGCTGACTGACTCTGCGAGTCGTTTCCGTCGCTCTGTGTTTCTCGCACTCATGGGGTGCTTCTTGCTGGTGCGAGAGGACGGAGCGACGAAAACGACTCTCGAAATCAATCTACAGCAGTGCAGACTATAACATAACAAGGCGCTACGCCTGCGTAGACCATCGGGGGAAACCAAACTCAATAACTAAAACAAACCCGGCGGGGCAAGGATGAGAGCATTACTACACACTAAATGTAATGAACAATTTTGTACGAGACATTACAGTTTTTTGAGGACGCGAACTTTTCGTACAATTTTTGAGCGGAAAACTGCACAAAATTCCCCATTTGGTGCAAAATCTTGCACAAATTTATACGAGAAGATCGTGTGCCCCAAAAACTGGGATGTCTCGTGCAAAATTTGTACAAAAACATTGAGTGTGTACAACGGGAAGGTGATCATCGCAGTGTTATCATTTAAATAAAGGAAGACAACTAATCACTCTTTGTCCTGGTAGGCATCGACTCTCATAACAGGAACGTGGCATCGCGTTGAAACGAATGTGAAAAAATGTCACGTTTCTTTGAGTTTATCACATTCGTTTGAATGTGAAAAAGCTTATTTATGTACGATTCATATCCCAACAAATGTGACACAATGCTCAAAGAAAGGTGACATTTCATCACATTCGTTTCAACGTGATGTCTCGTTCCTCCAATTAGTGAGAATGATCTTGTGCGACATCACGCTCCCTTGAACCCTCTAGGAGTAGGCAGCTGGCCATCCAAACCAGCATAGTAAATAGCTCCGCGCGGAAATTATGATGACAGTCTCAGTCTCGCTGCCAGCGACTGCAAAGCAGTTGCTTGTTCGAAACGGCGAAGAACTCGGGAAGATTCATAGAGACATTGACTACGGGTCGTCGATATGCACGCTTTCACGATTTTGGCTTCAGGGCAACATAAAGTTTCGTCTAGGGTAGGCTATTTGCGCTGATTCCAGAAATGATCTTTATTTTTCGATTGCACCTAAGTTTGGTGCTCTCAAATGGTGATCGAGTGTTCGGATGCGGGGTTTGGCGGCGGGATGGTCTTCCTGGTCCACAGGGGGGGGCAGTCTGACACACAGGGAGGAATGCAATCTCACTCAGTAGTCCTCAGACCTCTATTTGTATGATTTTACATCAAAAATCATAGGAAAAAACAACTCATTTTTCACTATTTTGGCACCGTTCTCACCTGTTTATTTGACCATTGGGGCTTGCATTGGGGAGGCATTATTGAACTTAAATTCAAATGAAGGAGAGGAAGTACGCATTTGGATACTCTACAAATTAAAGAGCGTACATTGTACGCTTTCCCTGCAAGCACGCTCTAGCTAGCGCATGCATGCCAAGCATGCACTTACGACTGCATACATGACATGTTCACGCTAAATGAAGCATGCAATGTACGCTTTTCGATTTGTAGAGTAATTGGGCCCGATAATGACTACCAGCGCCCAAATATATTGCTGACGAACAACTTGAGCCATTAGCAAACAGGTTCGGTTTTCAAATAACAGCAAGATAGGTAGTTACTGCTAAATTACATCAATTTAGGGGAGAAGATGGTATTTATTGGCTTAGTGCAAAAACATCATCTTCAGTATGATGGTTCGAGGTCCTCCACGTCATCGTCATCCGAGTATTGGGGTGGCACTCGCGGGACAGCGGGAGAGGAAGCCGGCAGATTGGCGGAAGACGACTTGACGTCCGACTCCACCGAGGACTCCACGGTAGAGCTGGAAAGTAAATGAGCAAAGAACTTGAAGTCAAACGACGGAAAATACACATGTTCACTCACAAAGGACATTTGGTGGTGTTCTGTTCTGGCTCGACCGGGAGCAGGCATATCAAGCACAAAGAGAAAGGTTGTGAAGAACGGTGGTTTGCGAACCTGTGCCCTGTACCTATCCGCAGTACACGTGACTCTTTAGTCAATCCTCCTTCACGAAGGGCCAATGGTTATACTAGTTTCCGAAACTGTTCGGAGTAAACCTAGAGTTTGCTTCTATGGTAAACTCCATCACAGTTCAGAAAATTTCTATTATTTTTTTTCACTTTTTTAAAGAGATTTTGGTCAGTGTTCAATTATTGTAGGGGTATCAGGACGGTTCACCCAATTCCTTTCACCCGAAACAGTAATGCCCACAAGTGTCTTGTCCACTAGTTACACATCCATCCCATTTAGCCCATCATCAGTATAGCCCGCCAGCGTTTGGCCCTTTGTACTTCCTCTTTCCTCCCGTTGCACCCTCAGATCCTTACGGTCCTTACGTCCGTACTACGAAAAAATTCACCGTGCCTTTCGATGAATCATACGTGATGCGATGGCCTTTACTTATTGCATGGGCGTGGCAACTATGTGATAAAACGTGTTGATGACATCCTTGTAAAGAAAATTTGCCTTGGAATTGTCATCAACTGACAACCAGAATTTGCACAGTGTGCATACCTGAATACCTTACATCGGCAACTGTGCAAATCACGTACGTGCACGTTGGACCGTACCTCACGATGACAAATCATCGTAATACGCATCAAGAAGGTATGCAGAAAAAGCAGAACAGTGAGAGGCCCATGGCTGGACTGGAACTGGGAAAGGTGCAGACAACTAATATTCATTGAAGAGACATCGAAAAAATTTGGATCGCAACTAACAGTGCCTTAGACAGGGCCTGTGAGAATAGCGTCACTCTAGTGGGTTTCGGGGTAAAAGGGTCAAATGATGGTCGGGTCTCCTTATTCTGGAATAAAGGGAGTGGGTCTAAAATTGAAGGATGAAATTGAAGTGTGCATTTCTGGAGGAAGAGAGACTTTGGGTGAATCGTGGATCCGTGTGAGACTGCCAGAAGGAAGTCAAAGTCCCCTTCACCAAGCAAGTTCGATGACAAGCCAGGCACCAGTGTGCCCTCTTATTCTAACTCTAGGTGTAAGACTGCCAGAAGCAAGGTCCCCCTTCACCAAGCAAGTTTGACAATCCAGGCACCAGTCGCCCCTGGTATTCTAACTGGAGGAGTGAGACTGCCAGGAGGAAGTCTAGATCACTTTCACCAAGCAAGTTTGATGATGACAAGCCAGGCACCAGCCAATCGAGATCCGCTAACTGGAAGAGTGAGAGTTCCAGGAAGAAATCCAGGTCGCCTACATCAAGCAAGTTTGATGATGAGAAGCCTTGCAATAGTCGAGCTAGGTCCTCTAACTCGAGGTGTGAGACTGCTAGAAGGAGATCCAGGTCACCTTCTCCTTTCTTCAATGATTACGAATCTGAGTCCCGCTCTCGGTCACCTCTCTCATTCCTGACTCAACGAAGTTCTCCTGCTACTGCCACATTACGCTCCAAAAAGAAGGCTGAGAAAGAAAGATCCCTTGCACCAGACTTCGCCCCTTGCAGCCAGAAGAAGACTGACCCTGATTTTGTACCCACAGGCAAGGCCACTCCTCAGCCACCACCTAAGAAGAGGGGAAGGCCACCAAAGAGTAAGAATGGAACTTCTAAGCTGGAAGGAGTTAAGTGCCCCATATGTCATGAAAATGTTCCTGGTAAACTGTGGCTGGTGACAAAGTGCGGCCCCATGTCTTCAGACTTGGGTTTCGACTCCGGGGCAGTCTGCCCGAGAACTCAAAATGTGCCCAGTCTATGGGCAGGACTTCAACATGACTGAGGTCAACCCCATTTATTTTGGCTTCTAGTTTTTGCTCTTGAATCTAAGATTTTTTATTCTTTTTTCCACTTTGATGTTGGTATTTGACTAGTCACAAGAAAGTACAGTGGATCCTGCTTATAACATTACCCGCATATTTTGCTGCTAAACTTTCCAGAGTCAAAAATCGCGTTGAACCTTTTACTGCTCATAATATTTCCATTTTTTAATCGTGCAAGTTGATCTGACGTCACAAACCTTGTATCTGTTTCGGCCAATCTGGCAGCCAGCACATGGGTGGCCACAAGGAGCAGCGCACACAGCACAGCTTTACAGTTGACCATCTTGAACGAGCAGCTTCGCTGTGAGAGTTGCTTGGAAGACCAGCTCGTGGGTCACAGTAATGAGCACAGCTGCCTCTCGGAGTTTTAAAGACAGGCGCTGATAACGGAATTGGTAGCAAGTCACGTGCGTTTTGTTTTCTGCTTTCTCATTCCAGGAGGAACGTGAGTGATATCTAGTTGACACGAACGTGACCAAATATCGCGTTCCTTTGGGCATTGCGTCACATTCGTTTAAATGTGAATAAGCTAACTGTGCGATAGCAACGCCCGCTTGAACAAGGGTTCTTATCAGAGGAAAACAAAACAGGTAGAAAAGTATCATTTTTCACAAATTTTCCATGGAATTAGTTTTTCTTGTCCGATAATGATTATAAAGTAGTATTTTTCGACCGATATAAACCCTCGAGGTTCGTTTTGAGGGCAATTTTATGCTCTTCTGCACTTTGCCGATTGCAAAAAAGTTGAAAACTTTGGCTCAAATCGTGCACGCAGTGACACCATGTATAATTTTGCAGACCTCTTTTTACGTGCTTCATGCCTCACTTGATGCAAAAACAAAATATTTTTTTGACATTGTTGTAAAAAGTTTGATTTTTCACATGGTCACCGCCGTTTGTCTCTAGCATTCATGCAAGCCGTTTTCAGTGTGGTCCTAACAGAAAAATCGAAAAAAAAAACAAAAATTGGAAAAGGGTGCACAAAGTACTACTGCCCCCTTACAAACACAATTTCACCAAAACAGCAAAGAAAGTTGAGAGAAATCTTAAGATCGTCACCCTACTCTACGAACTGAAATGTGTACTCAGTATGCATCTAGATATGCATCTACAGATGCATGTAAGGGAGGGTGGGGCACCTAGTGACACTTTTTTTGGATCTTGGCACCCACTCCGATACTGTGCGAGAAATGAATCTGCTTTCACCTCAGAAGGTTGCTTTGATCCTTCCTTGATCGCAAAAACATGTTGTGGCGTTTCGACAACACCTGTTTCTATTATTTACATAGCTTCCCGCAGACCTCTGCACTTGTCACTTGGTGCCCCAGCCCGGGGCACCTAGTGACAGGTCATATAACTCACATACCAGCATAGAGCGACGCTCCAGATAATTGGAAATTATCTGTTTTGGACTCTTTAAGCTTTTTAAATTTTAAACCATTCTGAACGGCAACATTTTTCCTCAAGAAACTGCATTTTACTACATTGCCAATCAAATTCAATGTTCTACGAAATTGTCGTACAAATTAGTCTCATTTATGTTTCGTTGTGTGACAATCGGTGACAATTTACTTCGCGGTTGCCAAATCGATGTTTTGAAACGTTTAAATCGTTGAAATACGGTAAATAGAGTGTGTCTGTCACTACCTGCCCCGGGGGCTCATTTCCGTTCATATTGTGATATTAAAGAAATGAAATCATATGTTTGAGCTGGTTCAGCGAAAACAAGTTACTAGAGGTCCTTATTATTGATTAAAAGTGCCAGAACGATCGGCAGTGCCGTGTACTGGAAGAATGGCGAGAAAACATTTTGTAAAAATGTCGTAAAATCTGTGATTTTGGGTAATTATTTTTTTGCTTTTATTCTAGGGGCTAAAATATTTTGTTCAAAGTCTCACGTTCACTTGAACATGATTCCACAGCACAAGACCTTTAGATAAGCCACCTCAAGGTGTCTGAAAGTGCCATAGGGTGGCCAGTGCACCCCTGTGTCACTAGGTGCCCCACCCTCCCTTACAGATGCGCACTTCCCAGTAAACAGCTACAGATAAATTCTTGGCCGAGTGAGGGAGAGTGGGGCGATTTGTAACAGATTTCAATATTCCCATACAAAATAAAGAACATTCTGCATATCGGTTCCAAACTTGTGCCAGTTGAGCAGTCTGGCCCTTTGTCTAGACTGTACAGTGTACAGCTCCATTGGGTCAATCTGGAATCCGCAATCTTGGAAATCTAAGACGCTTTCCAAACCCTTGCATGCTGTTACGAATCGCCCCAGCATGGGGTGATTTTTAACAGCCATGGGGCTTTTCATAACATCCTACACATTAAATGAAACATCGTCGGGAATGTTATCTCCTCCAGCAGTTGTTCTTAGGATGTCCTGCAGACGCCTTAAAAGCTACATTACAAGCTGCCGTTGACCGCCTCAGCATAAATTGACCGGCTATGTCAACGCTAACCTCACTTTTTTCAATTTTGGAGGAAAGAATAGAATAACTCGCTTTAAAATGCATTTCGAGCTGTGTAAAGTATTGGAATTAGGCAGCAGTGATTCAGATGAATTCAAGCACTTAATCGAAAACTACCCTTTAAATTCTGTTATACGGGTCTGTCACGAATCACCCCAAATGCCTGTTACGCAAGAAATCCGTCCCAACTATCACTGGACAAAGTAAAAGCAACTTATGCCACGTGGTTACATTGTAAAGGGGCCATACTCAGATTTTCCTGTGCTCCCTCCACTTAAATTTATGAACGCATTTGTTACGAATCGTCCCACTCTCCCTAATACAGTATACACCTCGGTATACACGTAAGGGAGAGTAGTGATCCATGACCACTTCTCTATTGAACCTCTCTCTACCCTGAGGTTCGAAAAGTTGATTTTCCAGCATGAGGGAACCCTGGGCCTCCAAGAACCTATTCTACCCATTGGAACTTGTCTGCAATGCACAGAGGGGTCACAGTGCACTTCAGAAAATAAAATGTAAAATGGTCATTGTACCCCATCTCCCATCTATGGCGTACCATGACCACCCCGTGGGGCACCATAATGGCCATACTAATTTTTTTGCCCGAGAAGTGTAATTTTTTCTGAAATAGTTTCTTACGCTAATCTCTACAATCAGGCAAGTCACCCCAGCCTTAAAAACATTCCAAAAACGATTAAAGCTTCATCCGTTCTAAGAGGCTTTAAAATGAGCGGTTTAGAACGGCCTCCAAGGCTTTCACACTTAACATCCAATTAGCTCTGACATGAGTTTATCATTTGGTGAAGAGTTACTCCCGATCACGAGAGAAATTCGACTGTGAGGTATTATGCATTTTCAGAGGTAACTTTGAGGGCCATCACTGAATTATGAAGAACCTTCATCACGTAACGGAGAAAATTCAGAAGGAGACTTTAAAAGTGTAGGACGTGCTCGGCCCTCCCTGCTCTGCGCTCCAGGTGGCCTGTGTTGCGTCAGAACAAGGGTATTTAAAGATCCCTGCTGCGCGAGGTCCAGCCACTTGAGTCATGGCGGTGACCGTGGCGGCACTAGCAGCGGTGGCGTGCTTCTGCATGGGCGCCAGCGCGTCGACGCCAGTCGACATCAGGGACGTGCCTTATCATGTACGTATACTTTCGTTCATTCCCACTGCACTGGTAAAATAAAGGCATAAAAATTGCGCCCTTAAAGGCAGAAATACTCTTTTACCCCCATTAAGGGCGTAAATCGTGTTATGCCCTTGGGAAGGGCGTGAATGCTATAGGAATTTTTAAGCAAAATTTTAATGCCCTTTAATATTAATATTATTGGAATCTCAGTGTATGTTTCGTTCACGTGCATCCCATTTCCAGGTGCGAGTACGGTCCCTCCTGCCAAATGGCACGCACATCCTCTGCGGTGGCTCGATTTTGTCAGACAGAATAGTACTCACGGCCGCGCACTGCACTGACGGGTAAGATTCTAGCCCGACCTTGGGAACTTAATTTACCGTAAAAGGTGGACAACGTGCGTGGTGTGCACCGTATCTTAGCGGGCTCTTACCACTGGGGCTGCCGTGTTCCACGGGGGCTGAGAATCCTTTCTTACTTTCATATCAGTACGTCGTCAGACTCCTCTTTTTGTCCACCTACCTGGGAGTAGCTGCGGACAAAACGCCTGAGGCTTCACTTGTTCTTGTGGAAACTGCGTTTCTCGGAAAAAGAGCAGTGTTGCTTATAGCATGAGAAACTGAGTTCAAATTTGTATCTCGAGGGTTTCGAGTCGGGGTTTTGTTTTTGACCGCGAGTTTTGTCCTAGGAAGGACGTGTCCAGTCTGACGGTTCGCGCCGGCAGTGCCGACCGCGCGAGGGGCGGCCAGGAGCTTCCTGTGGCCCGCGTCTTCCAGGACCCCCGGTGGACCGAGGCCACCAAGGATTTCGACGTGAGCGTCCTGCAGCTTGAGGGCCGCATCACATTCGGAGACACAGCCAGACCCATCGCGCTGGTGGCCCCCTTGACTGAACAGCCCACGGGTTCGCGGGGGCTGGTGGCCGGCTGGGGCAGAAGCAGCGTAAGTTTGTTGCAGAGTGAGACAAACCGAGGGGGCAACCACTCTAGAAATCTTGTGTCCCCTTAGCGCTAGAAATCTCTGGGAAATCCGAAATCTTGCCCCCCAAAAGGCCAAAAACAAGCTGATTTTGAGCGGAATATCGGTTAAAATCTTGAGAAATCCGACGAAATCTTTGGCGCGAAGAAATCTAGTGTCCCCAAACATCCAATGTGGTTGCCCCCTCGGAGACAACCCCAACACGTGTAGAGGCCTGGGACACTTTGGTCCACATGTAGGAGTGGGGACCACGCTTCCAAGTGTGGGACAGCGATGTCTCGCATTTGGAAGTGTAGGACTCGGTCTGTCCCTCACCTCGAATCTTTGGCCTGTAGCCGCTGATCCACGGAGCCAGCACGAGCAGGAAGTGTTGGGCAGACAAATGCCCCACGCCTACAAGTGCACTCTGAATGTCTTACGAAGAAATTTCCCTTAATACGAAGGAAATGGCGCAAGCATATTACGAAGGTGGTTTTTCTTCGTATTACGAAGGTTTTTCTTTGTATCTTACGATGAAAAGGCTAAAAAGATTCGTATTACGAAGGGATATTGCTTCGTATTATGCTTGCGCCGAATTTACTGTAACATACAAATAACATAGGTCAAATTTCATTGGAAGACATTTAGAGTGTTGTATTTGCAGTGTATGTATCGTCGTCAATGTCTGCTGTGTTAATATTATTTTATTTCCAGGGAGACGGCATTCCCAGTGAGACCTTGGGTTCAGCTCTACTGCAATACATCGACCGGCTGCCGTGCAGACGTGCCTTCGTGAAGGGCAGAATAACTCCTCGCATGGTGTGTTACGGCGGCGTTGTTGGCCCAGCTTGCGATGTAAGTACGAATCTCATGGCCTTCTTTAATACTAAAAAGAAAACTCCGAGGGATTTACGAAGGAGGGAACAAAGGGTTTCCGACGGATCTTTTGTAAATTTCGTGGGCAAGCCGTTTTGAATGCCAAAATTTTTTAAGCTTTGGGGCGGAAATTTTTAAGCTTGACAAATTTTGGCAGCTGGGTTTGGGATTTCCAAACCAAGCTTTGCCAATTTTTGGCATTCAAAACGGCTTGCCAAATTTGTGGCAAGCAAACTTACCGCCGGCTTTGCAGTTTATTAAAGGTAAAAGGGGTAAAAGCCTGCTTGGGCTTTCAATTGGATGTTCCCCTTTGCCATAAAAAATGATTTAAATTACCTTTGAGCCCAAAAATGTGGGAAGGTTTTAGGCAAGGCCCCAAGTGGGGTTTTTCCCCCCAAAAAAAAATTTGGGCTTCCCAACCAATGGGGAAAAATTTCGGATCGGGGCCCCCCCCGGGTTTAACGGCTCAGCAGGCCCAAAAAAGCGTTTTACCAAAAAAGGAAAAACCAAAAAGCCGGGCGGAAGGTTTTTTTTCTTTTCGAAAAGGAAGAAAACCATTTTTTTGGGGACCGGTCCAATCCCTGGTTCAGGGCCAAACGGGCCCCCGGGCCCTTTTTGGGGGGCCCAAACCCCCCGGCAAAGGGGGGCGAATTAATTTTTCAAATAAACGGGTTTAGCTTAAATTTATTTGGTGGCAAAAGGAATTTTCCCAAGGGGGAAAATTTTTTTTCGGGGTCACCTCTTAAAGGTGGGATCTGGCAAAATTTTGAGGGTTTTGGGATGCCCTTTATTGACCCTTTTAGCCCCCCTAAACCTTTTGCCAATTCCCAAAAATCCCGGTCGGCCAAAACCCGGTTTTAAAACCTTTTTCAAATCGTTCTAATTTTTTCGAAGAAAATTTAACCCCTTGTTTAAAAACTTCCCCAAAGGGGGGAAAGCCCGAATTTTGGGGAAAATTTTTCCCGGGTTGTTTAGACGCCCCAAAAACTTCGTAATTTCCGAACTTTTTCATTTAATACCAAAAGAATTTACAATTTTTGTTTTCAGGGGTTTTAACAAATGTTTAAATTTTTGAGTGAGCCAAAAACGTAACAACCGTTTTAAGAGCAGCATTTTAGCCGGCCCGGCCCCGGGCCCGCGCCCCAACCCCCCCAAAATTTCGGGAGGTTGGGGCCCCCCCTTTGGTTTAAGGGGGAGCGGCTAAGGCCACCGGAAACCTTCCCGGGGCCCGGGGGGTTTGCCTCAAGGCCCCGTCCGTGGGGGGCCAACCCTTTTGGGGCAGGGCCCAGCCCGGCCGCGGCCCGGGAAATCCGGAAAGGGGGGCTTTTTAAAGGCCAAAAAAACCGGATGAAAGGCTTTTTTCCCCTGAAACCCTGCCGCCCCAAAAACGAAATGGAAGGACCTGACATGTGAACCCCTCAATGGGGATTTCGGCCAACCAAACGAACTTAATTTTAAAAATTTTAAACCGTTGTTTCCAAATACCTTTAATTTAATGGCCAAAAAAAAGGGAAAAAATATTTCCCCTTTGCCGAGGGGCCAAAAACTTTACAAAAAATTTTTCCCCCGGGAACAAATTAGTTTTTTCCCCCGTTTTTCCGGGGAATTTAAACCGGTTTTTTTCCCCTTTAAATTTAGGGTTTTTCCCCGTTTTTTTCAAATTTAAAATTTTTAAAAAAATTAACACCCGGGGTTCAAAAAAGTTTGGGGGGCCCCGGCCTTTGGTGAATTTTGAAATTTCATTTAACAACCCGGATCACCCACTTAAGAATTTGGAAAGTTCGGGTTTTAGGCCGGGGGGCGCCCCTCGTTTGGGGCCTTCCCCAAAACTGGCCTCCGGCCCTCAATAAGGGCCTTTTAAGACGTCCAGGAACCGTCCGGGGCGGCCCCCACCAGGGGTCCCCCAGGGGCCCACCTTCCCGAGCGGGAAGGGGGCGGCGCACGGGGGTTTCCCTTGGGTGGGGGGTTTGCCGGCACGGCCGCGTCCGTGAGGGCGAACTTGTCGTGCAGCCCCGCCGCGCGCCAGCGGCCCAGGAACGTCCGGAAGACGCTCTCCAGAGGCCAGTCCGGCATGACGGCGTAGGGCGTGACGGCCTCGCCGCCCGGCAGCGCGAACATGCGCACGGAGGACCTGCACAGTGTGCACATCAATGCATTTCGGATCCAATCCAAATCGAATCTCACACTCTTCAAGACAAGATTTTTCAGTAAGGCCGCTTGTCGACAGTACTGAATTGTATCGCCAAAAAAAGGAACACAAGTATCGCCCGAGGGGGTAAACACTTGCGTAATACCCTGTACACAAAAGTCGGGTATTACGCCGTAATACGCGTAATAGTAATACATTTTGGGACCAAAAGTATCAAAAAATTGCATTTTTTAAATGAAATCGAGGCGTAATACATGCGTAATACAAGTGTAATACCCCGTAATAGGGAGTAGTCTGTAAAAGCTTCAACGGAGTGTTTACCCCCTCGGTATCGCCTTTGCCGAGGGGCAAACAACTTCGACAAAATTTGTACACCGTTATTTCAAATTCACGTTATTTCACGTTATTTCATTGTTATTTCGTGGGTATTTCAACGTTATTTCGCGCTATTTCACGCTATTTCCCGTTATTTCACCGTTATTTCACGTTATTTCAAGGAAAATGTACACCGAAGTTCAAGTTGTTTGCCCCTCGGCCTTTGAAGTGAAGTTCCTTTAAAGTGGACGATTCAACACCCGGACTACGAATGAACCTGTCGGTGAGCGCCGGCGGGGCGCCCCTCGTGGAGCCCTGCACCGCGAACGTGGCGGCGTCACGCGCCTCGATGATGTGGCTCACGACGTCCAGGAGCGTCATGCCGCGCGGCCCCGTGTACTGCAGCCGGTCCGCCAGGCCCCACTCCCGCAGCGGGAAGCTGGCGGCGTACACGGGGTTGTCCATGAGGATGGCCAGGTCGCTGGCCGCCAGCTGCTGCAGCGAGTTGATGTCCCCGACCAGGTCGCGCTCGTTGGCCTCGCGAGTCAGGTCCCCCTGGTACGACACCGAGAGGACCACGCCGACGAGCAGCCAGCAGCCCAGCACGGGCCGCTGCAGTCGGTGCAGCCCGCCTGGGGAAGGAGGCCGGCACTCGTACCGGTTACTCTACAAACTGAACTGTCGACATAGTACACTCCACACGGAGTCAACCATGCATGTACACTGGTAAAACTAAAGCGCAACTCTATGCTTGAGTCAAGCATAAAGTTACGCTTGAAGACGTTACGCTTGAAATCAAGCATAGGCTAGAAATTCCCCCATGCATTTAGATAGGGGAAATCTTGGCGGATGAGCCTGTTGCGCTTGATTTCAAGCGTCAACTGATTACGCTTGAAAACAGTGGGTAATACTACGCTTTAGTTTTACCAGTGTACACTCCAGGCAATTGCCAAGTACACGCCAGGTGGCGTTTATACCTGCAAGTACACGGTTGCTCTGCTTTACGTACTATGTAACCATGTACAATATTGTTCACTATTAAGACTTACTCTGCAAACTCAAGTGTGTGCCAGGCGCACACTTCCTGGTGCATGCCTGGCAGGCACACACTTCCTGGTACATGCCTGGCAGGCACACACTTCCTGGTGCATGCCTCAGGCACACACTTGCCGTATGCATGCATACAAGCAAGTGTGTGCCTGAGGCATGCACCAGGAAGTGTGTGCCTGCCAGGCATGCAGGAAAGAAGTGTGTGCCTGCCAGGCATGCACCAGGAAGTGTGTGCCTGCCAGGCATGCACCAGGAAGTGTGTGCCTGCAGGCATGCACCAAGAAGTGCATGCCTGGCACACACTTGAGTTTGCAGAGTAATTGTCATCTGATTATTTTTTAAGTCAATTGCGTATTTACTTTGTCACTAGCAGATTTGACTTTAAGTCAATATGACGAACAAAATTTTACATGGATATTGAGGAAATAGTACTCTTTAGTGCTGTGTGAAATACTCTTTAACAAAGGACAAAAAGTCAATAGCAGCCTGAGAGTGCGCCAGTCACCGGCACATAAACTACCCGTAATTTTCCACCCCTACCTGGGAGGGGCCGGATGAACTTGTCCAAGGGATGGGCGCTCAGCGGGCCCCGGTTCCGAAGCAGGAACATGCCCGCGGCCACCGCAAGGATGGCCGCCGTCATGGTGCACCACGTCGTCAGGCTGAACTGGTCCTCCAACGCGGACAGAGGACCCCGGCGCGTCCGCCGCGGCGCGGGCACCACTGCGTACCCGTGGACCATGCTCCACGGGAAGGTCCGGAACTGCAGGGCGGGTTTGAGCGCGAAGATGGAGGCGAGGATGTCCATCCGGCACGTCAGTGCACCGGACCACCGGAAGTCGCTCTCGTTTTTCGTCAGCCGGCGGACCCGCAGCGGCACGGCGTGGTACTTGGCGAAGTCCCGCAGCTCTCGCTCGACGTTCACGGCCCACGATCGGAACAGGTTGGAAGCGATGTAAGGATTCACCCAGGCCTCGAAGACTCCCCCCGGGGGCGGTCGCCAGCGGCGGCACGGCGCGGGAAAGAGGCCTCCCTCCACTGGTACACAGTAAATGTCTTACGGTGAAAGGCTGCACCAACATATTATGGTGGAGATTTTCTCCATAATACCAACGAAATTCATCGAAATATCTATAAGGGAAGGTGGGGTACCATGTGACGGTTTTTGTTAAGTGCCCGTCAACCCAATACTACCAGTCACATTACATCCATAAGTAGTCACGTGAACAACATGATTCTTCACCTTAAAATTTCTGTTGAGATTTCTAATTTATCTGTTTTGGTTGCTGAGTTATCCCGAGTTGAATGGGCCAAGTCAAAGTGTCACTTCGTACCCCACGTAGTACACTATGTGACAGCCTTAGTGTACCATGTGACAGTGGCCTTTTGTCAGGGTTTAAATCCTATTCAGCGTACCTATACACAAAGAATGAATGAAGAAGTCTTCCAGCTTTTTATTTCCGTTGAGTTTATCAATTTATCATCTTTGGTTCCCGAGCAATGAAGGTTTTAGTTATTAGTGTACAAATGTCATGGGCTGAACACATTCAACTGAGTGAATCGTGGAATCCCATAGCGAATGACA